CTGGGGCTGTTGATTTATCCAGCCCCAGCCTAAGTTATGAATGTTGTGGTATTTTAATGTTGTTTTTAATTTTTTTTTTGTATCCCCCTTCCCTTTTTTATCTGTAAGCCGCCCTGAATCTCTTGAGAGTGGGCAGCATACAAATCCAATGAATGAATGAATGAATGAATGAATAAATGAATAAATGAATCCATTATAATCTTGCTACTATCTACTCATTTTCTCTTGCGCGCAAGCAATTGCACTTAGACTTATATACTGCTTAACAGTGCTTTTACAGCGCTCTCCAAGCGGTTTATAGTGTCAGCATATTGCCCCCAACAATCTGGGTTCTCATTTGACCCACCTCGGAAGGATGGAAGGCTGAGTCAACCTGGCTAGATTCGAACAGTCAAATTGCAGGCAGCCAGCAGTCAGCAGAAGTAGCCTGCAGTACCGTATTCTAACCACTGTGCCACCACAGTGCAAGGATTCCGAAATCTTTCCGGAGGGAAAACCACCAAAAGTGTATGCAGAGCGAGCTTTTGGGTTGATGGACTCATTGATTGATTAACCCGATTGATTGGCACACGCTATAACTTACTCTATTGGGATCATCCGCATCTTCCTCATTGATAGAACTGGACGGAGAAGGGGTTGCTGATTTGCTCGCAGGAGGGGAAGGAGATGCGTGTGGTAAGTTGGTGCTCCCTAGATTTAATCCCAGTTGAGCACTTAGCTGGGACTGGTTAATGGTAGTAAGCTGGTTAGGAGTCATAATTCCTGAACGAGTAGCTTCCGTCATGTGGATAATGGATCTCATGATCAAAGGATGGTCCTGGCGGTACTGAGGCATCCCTGTGTGGGTGTGATCCTGAAACAGAGAAAGAATGGAGGGCTGTTAAGGTAATTTTGAACATTAAGAGAGACAAGACAGGAAGCGTATCAGAGTTTGTTGCACAAATCAAATCCAGAAAGCACACACAGATAACTGATTCAGTAAGATTCATTAACTTCTTTATATACATAATAATACATGAGTAAATGTACAACACCAACAGCAGATTCTTCCAACGTGGCAGTAGTTACAGGCAAAACACAGGCAGATTGGTTTCAGTTCACAATTCAGAGCTTAAGACTAGATTAGTTCTCTTGCACAGACTCAAGAGCTACATAGGTAAGCCACGCCCAGGCTCCGAGCCGTCTGGCATGGCTCTCAGTCACCAAATAGTTCCCATTGGCTGACCCAGTTGCCCTGCCTCTACATTGGCTGACCTTGTTACCATGTCCTATTCCAGCCAGTCCCCAATGGCTGACCTCCTGCCACTTNAGCTCCATTCAGTTTCTCAGACTACACCCCGCAAGGGATTATGGGGTCATTAAAAGAAGATGATACGATATTGAGAGTAGCCCTTATTTCATAAGTTTTCACCAGATTAGTCCCTGGAAGTTGGCAAGAGTCAGTACATCTGAAATCTCACTTCTAATCATCTATTTCTCACTCTATTTTTATAATAACCAATGGTGGCTTAGGATATTATGCAGTAAAAATTAAATATACAGTAAAAATAAATATAGACCTGTTGATGCAATGCCACTCTTATAAAGAATTAATGATTTATCTGCTTGCATCTATTCGATTTTGCTTCTGACATGACAAATCTTTGAACCATAAACACAATTTGTAGTTTGACAATTATAACATAAACAATAATTTGGTCAACTGCTGAAAAGATTGGTAAAATGGGAATTAAGCACAATTCCATTCACCTGTCAGTTTTGCTCATAAATATCAATTTAAAAAAAGTGTAGACATTGCAAAATTCAGTCCTGTACTTTTGCATATATTTCTACTAACATTCATACAAAGAAATGTTTTTTTACAGTACTAATTTAGACTATGGTAGGGTACCCTATTAGCTTCATCTGATTTGTATTGTGCATTAGAATTTTCATGATAGCCATCATGCCAAGTAGATTATGCATTTGCCTTGAACATGCAGTTTAAATAATTACAGATAATTTCTGTATTTTTCAGGGATTTGTTTTTTAAAAGACAGAAACATTGATAATATACTTCACTGAATTGACTACCTGCTGTAGCTATGGAACAAATATTTAATGACTTAAAGAACACTTGAAAGTTGGGTCATATGATTGCCTAGAATCATTTATGTTATGAATTTTATTCCCAGAACTAATAAAATTAATGTAAATTTAAAGTTTCATAAATCATTTTAGCCTACGTACGTACTTATGTCAGCTTTATAACACAGGAGAGACTTTGCTTTCCTGGCATTATATTATCAGTTTCAAATTATGGATAGTCCTCGGGTTACAAGCACAAATAGAATAGCACTTAAACTTATATACTGCCTCATAGTGCTTTATAGCCCTTTCTAAGTGGTTTACAGAGTCAGCATCTTGCCCTAAACAATCTGGATCCTCATTTTACCCACCTGGGAAGGATGGAAGGCTGAGTCAACCTTGAGCCTGGTAAGATTCGAACTGCCAATCAGCTAGCAGCCGGTGATCAGCAGAAGTAGCCTGCAGTACTGCACTCTAACCACTGCATCACTGCGGCTCATGAGCCCGACATTTATGTTGCTAAGTGAAACATTTGTTAAGTGAGTTTGTCCCATTTTAGGACTTTTTGCCACATTTGTTAAGTGAG